TGAGGCATTTTAGACAAATGTGTTGTATGTTTATGTTGTTATATAGAAGGGTAATGAGTCCATACTCACTGGCATTTTTCATGATTAAATCAGTGCCGTTTCTGCTTCTTATACTTGTTCCATGGTGAGCTGGTCTAAGTCAGAGACTTTCTCTCTGATTTTGTGCTATATTTGAGGCAGGCTGTTTCCAAGCAACCCAGATAGGATATATATTACAGCTATATAGTTCCCATTACAGCTGACCGATACAGTAAAAGGTAACTCTGAAAATTAGATCCCTCTACACAACAAATTCATCTGAGCAGAAGCTCCTATCATTGTATGACCTTCTGTCGAAAGGTTAATGTTCTTAAGAGGAATTGTGTACGAAAGATGAATTATTTACATCTGTCTCTTTGATTAGAAATTCTATTAAAGTATTTTTTTGGGTTGAAAGGATTAGGTAAGACCTTTATCTGGAAAGGAAAATATACCCATTTGCACTTTTCAAAGGTGATTAAGTAGTATTTTGAATTTTGTTTTATATATCTGGTCCACTTCAACCCCTTTGGTGTCTGTTATTTAGAAAAATCCAAAAATATGTGCAAGTCCTTTCCCCTCTATGTGGAATGTTTCAGATTGAAAATGTATTTCATTTATTGCATATTATTATTACGAATTTAAAGTGATGTTTAGTGTTGTCTGTGGATGATGCAGATCGTGGTGGAATTCACCGCTATTTAAAAATAACATCAAGTGATCTTAAATTCCGGTTCATGCAGACTCAGATGACAGGAGATTTTCTCGCTTTTTATTGGACCCCTTGTAGGTTAAATACACCCTTCAAAGAGATTAATCAGAATGCTGGAGGTGTCAAGATGGGGAGGAAAGCTTGGAAAATGCCCACAGGTACTGCCCCAGAATTGGCGAGTGCTGATTGAGGGTTCATGATTGCATTTCTGAAACGCTGGAGATCCAATTTTCCTTTTGCCCTAAACTTTACTTTTTTGGAGATCGTATGGCCTAAGCACACTTGTTCTAATTGCACAGATGATTGGATCCAGACAAGCAGTTAAGTGACATGGAAGAAAATTATCCTCGGGGGTAGGAGATACGCAGGGCATCTCCCTCTCAGGACCTTTACCGAATTTAAAGATGTGGGTGTGAATGAAAGGCAGTCACACAAAATGTTGAAAATGTACGTAAAAATCAGAAATCAGCAAATATGAATTATTTTGTTTTTTAATTGGTAGGCCACTTTGGATCTTTCTTTTTGTGTTGAACAGACACCAAAATACTTTAAAGAAATTAAGAACACGAAAATAAAGTGTAACTATGTGGAGATATATAAACACACACAGAGAGTAATCTTATTTATTTACCATATCATGATTGCATCCAAACTGGCTGCAGTTCGATGGGGCTCCATTGTTCCACGTTAGATGTCGTACGCACGGGTGGAGCAGAGGAAATAGGGGTGCAAAAGTGCTATGAATTTTATTAAGAACAGAGATATTAAGGCTAATGCGGTGGGTGTCCACCGTGTTTTATTTTCCTATGTGCCGAACACCCGCGTTATTTACTAACAAGGAAAGACTGATTACCATGAAGGCCTCAATAACGCCTCTAGCAAAGGAATATCCATCATAATTCATGTGCCGCGAAGCAGATTACACACATTTGCACGCACGGTTTTAAACTTGGCGGCTCGTACTTAAAGATCCTGTAATGGGAAAAGAAACGCGTCTTGTTTTTTCTCGCCGGTGTTAACGAGCATTATTACCGTCATACGAACGCCCGGCAGAGCAGTGCCTAGTAAATCCTTGATAATGTTTTATTTGTAAACACTTCGGTCCTGACACTAAATACACCGCATAACACGATTTCACTGCGCTGTTGTAATGAGAAGCATTAGCGCGCTTTCAACTCCTGATCACAGCTGGGGTGCGATTCACGGAGCGGCCTGCCGATTGAAGACCACAGGTAAGCTCCCGTCAGTGACTTTGTTTATGTATCTTCATTCTATTAGTGGAGATTTGCTGCTTTCATTAGTTGCTGGGATTTCCCAAAGCTGGCTGGTAAAATATAAAATGCTTAATAACAAAAATTGTACTTATAGAGGCTGAAGCTTAGTCTGCAGTAAAGTAAAAATAGAAGATTATTATTAATGCCCATTCTGGTTGATGGTTTCTAATAATGTATAGTATCTAGTAATGCATTTCTAAGATTTCATACGTGCCTAAACATATATCATGTGAAGACAGGCCTACTGCACCCAATTTTCACAGCTTTCTAATTACTATGAACGGGAGCAGGTAGTAACAATACATTTAATTTTGATTGTAGTGCCTAAAATTAATTTGAGACGTGTCACTCTAGAAATGTATCACCATCGAGGACAAAATGTGAATCGCATGTCGAAGAGCTGCATATATGTATATCTGCGAGTTGTACATTGCCCAGAAATGTCAGCTATTTAAATAAATGTAACTTAAAATTTTTATTGTTAATACTTTGGAAAATTCGTACCAATTTTTTTCTGACATTCTTACTGCTTTTTTCTTAGGTTAGAGGCAGTTGTACTGATTTATTATGATCAACATCACTCTCGTAGATTGTTCTTTTTTGTATTTGCTCGACTTCCACGTCATCGTTTCGCTAGGTAAGAGAATTCCTGAAATCTATGCCAACACTGACCTCTAGTGGTTAAAAGCGATCTCAGCGTGTGAAAAAGAATTTGGTACTGTATTTCAAGTACAAATATGAACACAGATCATATAGACCTAATGCTATGTGTACCAGTTTGTTTCTGACATTGTTACTTTTTTTATTTAAGTTCAGTTTACTCAACCTTGTAAATACTCATGTCATATACTCTGACATTTGGCAAGCTAAAGTAAAAGTTTTCCAGAAACTGAATGAGCAGAATGTCCTACATGTGAAATTAGGCAGGGAAATGATGAAATCACTGCCTTTTGACTCTTGTCATTAAATCAGCCCGAAGCATGTTAAGAAAGTGACTCAATGAAGCCTGTGATAAGAGCAAAACGTGCACAGCTAAAGCTCAGCCTCCAAAACACAGCCTTATGGCAAACCCCTAACCAGTGTCCTTCCCTGGAAGACCAGAGTACAAGCTGAAACAGGAGAGCCAGCATCTCCTCAGAGGCACAGAGGCAGCCTCACACTGTTAGTCCAAGGCTGCAAAATCCCCAGTTCTGCCTTGTGCTGCAACTAACTACAACTGCAACTAACTACAACTGACCAGGTAGTCACTTTTTTCAGTTTTTAAAGGTAGTCTGGGGTAAATGTAATTGAATAAAGTCCAGTTAAACTTTGGTACCTTACTTCCGATAAGTTATCTAGCTAACCAGCAAATCTTGCTTCGTGACGCAGACCCTTGAGCACAAGAGCGAATATATACAAACACACCAGATTTTACATGCACACTGTATACATTCACTCTCCCAACACACATTCAGAAATCATTCAGCATTGCTTTTTTCCCATAATGGACAAATGGGAAAAGGAGTTTAATGAAAAGTGAGCGGGTGGTTTGAGATCTGAAAGTCCAGTTATATTATTCCGCTGTCCGTAAGCCGTCCTTATGCACGCCTGCATCCTGTCCGCGCGCCTGCATCCTGTCCGCGCGCCTGCGCCCCGTCCGCGCGCCTGCGCCCCGTCCGCGCGCCTGGCCGGCTCACACACACATATCATCCCTGCATCTCAGCGCTGTTACCTCCCTTTTTTCCTTCTCTCATATAACCGTCGGCTGTGACTGGATTTCTCAGAAACTCTCCACTATATTAAACGTCTTTGTCGTGGAACAAAACAAAGTTTGCTGAAACGTTTTCCGTCTGGAGCGCTTTCTGTGGGAACTTACTTGGTTAATTGGGGCTGCTTTATTTGAAGTCCTGCTGGCCATAGTCTGGGTCTTACAGTGGCGCTCTGGAAATCACATTCACTTTATAGCGTGTAGCCCAGCTTAGCACAGATGTTTCTAATGGTGTTTCGCCCCACTGTTAATACTGGGGTTACTGGCATGGGGCCTGGCCGGCTGGGTGCGGCGCACATCACGGAGGCTGTAGAAACACGCTGCTGAGTCAGACTTGTGGTAATGGAGATGCACTCTAGTGGCTGTGTTTGTTGTGTTTTTGAGGCTCGAGGTTCATCTGCATGCTCTGTTCTTTGATAGGAACAAGAACCGGGCAACAAATGATTAAATCAAGGAACGATTTGGATGGTTGCCTAGCCACATTTGAAGGATAGGTCCTTTTTGATGATGATGATGATGATGATGATGAAACCCTTTATTGCAGCTGAGGCTGTACGGTGTGTTTGGATGATAGATGCTCTCAATCAACAATTGTTACGGGTGGTAAAATGGATTAGCTGAGGCATCTCTAGCAAAACCGGAGGCGAGTGTAACTTTTGAAATGTAGCATATATTCTGCCTGGAGTCTTGGCTTTGGGGGTCTGGCCTGGACGACTTTCCAGCGACTGCCCCTTTTTGCCATCATTTCTTCACACGTTTCACTAACAGTAACAACCTTCAATGACACACATTGTGCATCCAGGCCACAGCTTCCCGGTCAGGTGCAGTGATGCATAATGGACATGCTGGGACAGACTGGGAGGGGGCGAGTGGGACCCAGACGCGCAACCACTCTGCTCCATTCATTTGCGGCGAGGGTTTTTGGATCGAATCACCGAGCACAGCTAGTGCAACACCTGCATAGCTACAGGGGCGTAAAAGGAAAAATGCTGAATGCTGGACAACAGTGTGGCCTTAATATAAAGCAATATGTAGCGATAATGTGGTTTATTTTCTGTGGGAAAAACTACTTCTGTTGGTTTTGGGACCCACACTTGTTTTCCACGACAGTGCTAGAAGGCTTTCATTTTCAGTTTGCTTTTATAACTCTTAAATTCTCTAATTGTTCGGATAAATATTTTCATTTCTACTAGACATTTTAGTACCAGTCTGATGCCACCATGAAACAGATGAATTTCCTTTATCAAAGTTGATGGGATGTTATTTTGTTTATTTTCCCCACCCAACACATAAAAAAAATAATTGTAATGTTGCATACAGTATAAAAGCTTGATAATTACAATCTATAGAAGACAATCAAATGATCGTAACAAACAATGAACAAAAGATGAAAAGTCATATTCAACACGCGAAAGTGTGTATGATTTCAGCCTTCATAACCTGCATAACCTGGAATTAGCATCACTGACTCGGCGAGACAGTTTAGCTCCTGTTTGCAGTTTGAGTGCTTCTTACGACGCTATTTATCACTGAAATAGTGCTGACCAATTAAGCAATGGTTAATTTAAAAACACTGCCGCGGCATTTGAGTGCGATAGTGCCCCTCCCTTTTAGTAAGTTTGCTGCTTGTTGTTCATGGTAGAAGGCCCCCTTGTGGTGGATGGGGATAACGAAGAAACATCAAAAAGAGTCATTTTCAGGACTGGCCGAGTGCCGCTTGGTGGCGGGGGGTCAGAGGTCGTCGCCATCGTCTGTGCTGAAGCTGCTCCTGCGGCTACTCCCCTTGGAGGCAGGGGGCGATGTGGCTGAGAGGAGCGGGTCAGCGTCAAAGGGCGACAGTGAGCCTCCTGGCAGGATGTGGTCCAGTCGACTCTCCTCTTTAAGAGTTCCATTAAAGAAGTCTGTGAAGTGAGACAGGGGATCCGAAAAGGCGACGACTGTGCCGCCGTGCTCCGTGTGGCCCGTGGGGGGGGCGATGGGGCTCTCTGCGTAGTCCCCACTCAGGTCCTCTTGGTACACAGCCTGCTGTGCATGAGGCATCTGCTGAAGCTTGAGGAGGTGAGAGGGTGACTCAGTGGAACCCAGGGAAGGGGCCATGCTGGGGAGGCCATGTGCTCGAGCCTGGATCTCCAGCTCCTACATTCAGCAACAAGCACAGGAGGTTAGGGGATGAGGAAGCTGTACCCAGCTAGACAGAACCACCATTTAACTACCACTTCAGTTTTTGGCTTTGTTCATGTTAATAGGGTGATTATACTACTACATTTTATTACATATATGAAACAAAATGAAAATTAGCCATGCAGTACTCTGTAGTAGCCACAGGGGGCAGTAGAGTTTGTTTCTACAAACCTGGATCCTGAGCAGCAGCCTCCGATTGGCCTGTTCCAGTCTCCTCTGCCGCCCCTCCAACTCGCGCCCGTGCTGCTGCTCCTTCTGCAGCCACTTGATGTACTCCACCGAGGCCTTGAGTATGGTGCCCTTGTTCCAACGCATGTCGCTGTGGGAAAAACAGACATAGAAGCGTTTCACAAAGAGCCAGTAAACTTGCAGACCTTAACCTTAATGAGTCAGCGGAATATGTACATGTAGCCATTGGAAAGACCAGTGAGAATGGCATCATTCAGCTGTCCCTGAATGGGAATTCTCCTGGAAGATATTAGCATTAAAACGGTTCCCAGGAATGCCATGGTAAACATTATTGTTAGATTGGATTACCAGCCAGCATGCAGTATTGAGCAGGATACCAGATGATAGGCTAGATCCGGAGAATTCCTGACAAATATTTTTAGCTAGGAAAGGAAAACATAAGCATGACACTCACGGGTCATTCGACTTCGGTATCAGTGTCCCAAGCTCCTTGATCCTGTAGTTGATGTTGTACCTTCTTCTCCTTTCAACTAGAGAAGAGAGAATATGTGTTACTTGAGGAGGTCCGTACTGACATATTGGCACCTGTCCTGCACTGAGTGAAAGGCTTTAGTCATTACATCACCCCGTGTGTCCGGCCGAGTGCCTGTAAGGGTGAGGACAGTCATTACATCACCCCGTGTGTCCGGCCGAGTGCCTGTAAGGATGAGCAGGCTTGGCAGCCAGTATGTCCAACCATAGTGACTGTCTGCACTGAAGCCGGCTCATGGATTACTCCATTTATAACTAACCATATACAACTGATACATTAGCTGTTCAAGGATTTCCCTGAAACCCACTCCTAAGAAACCTTAAGCTTTAAGGCACTTCCTGTTCATTAACTACTCTACTACCTGCTCGTGATTGTTGGGTAGTTAGTTTAATCAAACTAAAGAGTAAATCCAGTCACCATCCCCCAAGGTAACATCCCAAAACCCTTCAGGGGGGTCTCCCTGCATCACACCCCCATGTAAATTTAGTGCTTTCAAGCAGATTGCTGTCACCCCCGGCTGTTCCTGACTCACAAGCGCTCTCTGCATGTTCACCCCCACCAGCCACCGAGACAGATTAATGTCTCAGTGCCTGGGAAGCTTCACAATCTTCTTCTGCATTTCGTAAGGGCTGGGTGACAAGTTCAATGAAAAGCCAAAAACTGAGTATGGAGCGTGGGCTTGTCCTGTGTTAAGTTTTGAATTCAGGCTTGTGCATGAAACATATTTGCCTGCACTAATTTGCCTCGTATCAGTCAGGTTCTGATAGCCTTATGGATTCAGTGGGATGTAGCTGGTGCAGTCATAGACATATACTATGTGCAGCAGTCAGTGGTGATGGATTTCTAAATGAGCATTGATGGAAATCCTAAATGCTTCTTACTTAAGTTATGGTTGTCCTTCTTTTGTCTTTCTTTGGCCAAAACTCTTGTGTCATGTTCTGAAAAACAAAGAACAAGAGAGGTGGATATGAATATTGAGCTTTAAAAGCCAATAGAAACAACAAAGCCATTCACATATTGCTTGAGACTTTTCCATCAGGTGTGTTAATGGTTTAACCTGATTTCTGGGTCTCTCTGCCTTCTGCACCCACACGGCCAATGACCTCTGCCGATTTCTGGGTCTCTCTGCCTTCTGCACCCACACGGCCAATGACCTCTGCTGATTTCTGGGTCTCTCTGCCTTCTGCACCCACACGGCCAATGACCTCTGCTGATTTCTGGGTCTCTCTGCCTTCTGCACCCACACGGCCAATGACCTCTGCTGAAACTAAAACTGTTCTTCCCCACAATTAACTCAGTCTCCTTATTTGCTGATGCACCAGCGAGCATTGCAAAAAAAGTATCTCAAGCATTCAAATTCAAATTCTTTCCAATTAAATAATCGGGACTCTTGATTGGATTTCTCAGTTCATTCGGGTGATTTAATAAGGTCACTTAAGCTCTGTGTAATGACCCGTTGTGCAGCCGCACACTTGTAGGGGGAAGACAGTAATTCAGTTATATCCCTGCCATAGAGAAGGGATGCACGGGCATCTCTCCCATTTCCTAAGTCAATTGGGTTTCCCTGATGCATGACATTCATAAAAACTTAGAGTATGCTTTGTTGGCAAACCTGCCAGGCTGAGCTGTTCCAGGTCTCCAAGGTTACAAGTGTAACAAAACTAAAACCACAGTGCTACACACTAAGTGACAAGACTCAGCCATGTTTGGACCCATAATCCTCCTTTGTATTTCTCACAGTGCCTAAAATATACATATACAGCTGTGGGAAAAATTGAGAGACCATTCTATATTTTTAAACCAATCTGTATTTTTAAATCCTGATTTAATCGTGGTTCTGCTGACAGAAGCTGCGCTGAGCAGCAGGCTGCTTCCACATTCAAAATTTCTAAGACAGCAGTTTCTCATGAATCATAGGGCAACATCAAGTGACCTTCAGAAGAAATGTACGAGTGTGTGTGTATTTGTGTATATATATATATATATATATATATACACACACACAGTACTGTGCCAAAGTCTTAGGCAGTCCAAAGAAATGTTTAAAGCTGGGTAGCAAGTGTACTTTGGCTTAGAACAAAAAACACAATTTAACATTAGAACATGTGCAAATTAAAAACTAGTAATAATATCTTCTGTTTTCTAAAAAGTTACTGATATCTAGTTGGATGGCTAGATGAACACCGCTTCAGTTCCCAAACCTCTCCTCAGGGGCACCCCAGCCATTCCATGATTTTGTTGCATTTCACCAACAGCTCAATTAATTAAATTAATTGTTTTAAAAAGTCAGTGACAGATTGACTAGCTGTATGAGGTGCTAGTGGCCAAGTCAAAAAATACATGGCTGCACTGGACGGTCACTGCAAATACTGGGGTGATTTTAGCAGAGGTTCTGAAACGGCTAAGCTGACACACTTTGACAGGCATGATATCATAGTTTTACAGCAACACGAGGATAATCTAAACATCATTTTCTTTGCCTGCCTAAGACTTTTGCACAGTACTGTGTGTGTGTGTGTGTGTGTGTGTGTATATATATATATATATATATATATATATATATATATATGCGCGTGTGTGTGTGTGTAAATAACAATCGCACATCCATAAATTGAGAAATGAGTGAAACTTTCATCAGTTCACATAAATACAGGGTGCATGCACTGGTCTCTGTAATTACCTTTGGTTTGATTGCTACCTTTATTCCCTCAGGGGACAGTTGTGTTGTTCAAAGGATACAACATTAACTTACATACCCAGAATGCCCTGCGGACTGGCCCTCGTCTCCCTCCCTCTCTAAGGAGTATAGCACATGTGCCACTCGCCGTACCTGTGAATTGGCTTTTTATTGGGCGCTTTGCCCTACATGCTGCAGGTGTCATGCCACCACAAGGGGCGGTCATACCTTGCTCAGTGCCATACACGTCCATCATGCTGTTGCTGTGGGATCCCTGAATGGGAAATAGGGAGACAGACAGAAGGGCACGTGTCACAGCAGGGGGTGAGGAGGCTACGAGAGGGCCAGGGGCTGCCTCCACTTTATATCCTCCAGCACTGCAATATCTGAGTTTTTTAAAGCTTATTTTACTTATCTGGTGGAAGGGAATTTGTCAAGATACTTTCAAGAAGCCTTATCGAGATGATAAAGGTTTTCATAAGGCTTGTCAGTATCGCTTAGAACTTAATTAAAATTTTGCCAGGTTATGAGAATGCAAAACGGGAAGGATCACCTCTCAGGGAATAAAATATAACTTCAGTCACTCTTGCTTTTTGCATCATTCAACCATGGATACAGTGTTTTCAGATTATTCAGGGTACCAGGTTAAAATGTGTGTAAAATGTGAGCCCGTGTGTCTGAAATGATACTTACATTGTTTTGCATTGTGAGGTGAGTATCCATACATCCCAAACCCTCATTACTGAAAGTGGATTCCAGGCTAATTAAGTCGTCAATGACTTCATCCATCGGGAACTAAAAGGAAAATTATTAGTGTACTTGTGCATTTCAGGATCGGGCTTTTGCATCGTCTTTATAGTAAGACTGACGAAAGGAGAGGAATGCAGCCGACTGATCCCCTGCCGCAGCCCTCACTGACTTCGCTCACCTCACTGTCTTTGGCACTGCAGGCGATGGGCATTAGAGTAGCAGGGCTGTCCGGGGGGCTTCCAGTGCTGGGGAGTGCCGGGTGCCCGCTGTGGATGATGGGTATGGGTACCGGGAGTTGCCCCTGGTGGGAGTGTGAGACAGGCTCCAGAGGGCCACAGCCAGCAAGCTTGGAGCCCAGGGCCAGGTACTGCTTCAGCTGCTGGGCCTGCGAGGGCTGCAGGCTGTACTTGGGGCTCTCCAGGTGTCCCTGGACCTGCGGCAGAAACAGAGCGTTTGCTCATTTCAGTCATAAGCTGGAATATAAATCCATTGCCCAAAGACTATTCACAAAAGTCTACACTATATGTCACATACAATATAATGTCCCAGAATAGTGCCGGAAAGTTTCCAAAAGATACAACAAACACATTGTGTGAACAAAATACCAAATAGAATGTTCAAAAATTAATGGCTCAAGGCTACTGTGGTAAGACCAAGACTTTCGTCCGCATTATGTAAGAACCATGGACCATAAACTAAGAATCACCTGCCCAAAAGAGCAAAAATTACATTCCAGTATTATGTAGACGAAGCCACAGGTGCATATAGAATAGAAAAACACAGGCAAGCAGAGATGCAATGAAACTGATTCACAAGAAATTTGCTCTTACATTTAACACTCTGCCTCCATCCCGCATGTCATAGTAGCTACAGTCGGCCAAGTGTGGCATTGTCCAGGCGAGCGTCTTTAGTCCGACTAATGGGGGAACTTGGGTAGGATCCAATGCAGAGCTCAGAAGACTACCAATGAGGCGCTTCTGCTGGAACTTATAAACCAACTGGGCAAGCTAAACAATCCAATTTGCTGAAGCCGGGCTTTTTATGGCACAGAAAGACAATAAGGCCACAGAGAAACCTGGCAGGCTGGTCTGGTCACTGTAGGATATCGGCACACGCTCTGTCACTAATTCAGTGAGAACGCCCTGTTCTGTTTGCGGGAATGGCCAATCACACATGTGAATTTTTGATGTTCATTCCTTCAGGGAGTCAACACAAATGCTGCTTGTTCTCAGTGGTCTTTAAATAGCTGCACTACCGTTTATGCCTCCTCTGTAGGTCATTGTCTCATCTACTGCCAAAGAATAACTGACACCATCACCGCTGTAATCCAATTTTAGCTCATCCTATACATTCAGATTATCTATAGATATATGAAGACACAGCATTTTCTTGTTTTGATATCTGATTTCTTAATTGTGTCTCCAGTTTTCTGGTTTTTATGTACTGTATAATAAAACACAAAGTAGTTGCAGTCATCTCATTTATTCTGTTATGTGTAGACTTTTCCAAGCAAAATCTTCAGAATTTGTTCAAAGACAGTTTTGTCTCTAAAATGTGAGGCCAGTGTAAAAGAATGAAGGGAGGTAATGATACTTATCACAGTCCTGACCTACGCCGAAAGCACGATTGCTGTACGATTCCAATTACATTACCCATCTGTGTTCCACCCAACAGGATTCTTGTCATTATTGTTTTTAAAATTAATGTTACTGTCAAAATTGCTCATGTTGTTCAAAATCCATGTGATTTATATAATTTATTCCTTATTGTAAAAACCTTTGTTATTATATTATGAAAAAAAACATTATATTGATGCCATTACAATGGAGAGGCAGGAATTGAAAAATAAGATATACAAACACAATATAAAATAAAATTTCCAATATTAAATAAAATGTATAAAATTCCCTAATCCTCTCCCACATTCTTGTATGGACTGACTGAAGCCCCTTCAGGACACGCCATCCACGGCCCTAAAACCCACCCCTCCCCCTCCCTCCAGTGACTCCAGTGCAGCTTACCTGCTCCTCCAGGTCACCAAACATCTAGACCCCCAGAGCCTCCCATGTAGACACCCCTCCCAAAATGCAGGCCTCACCCCCCCCCCCCATATCAGCGCACTAACCCTGTTACACAGCCTGCGCTTAGGTCACTGACATTGTGGAAAAATATCCATCTTGACATTCGACATTAAGAAATTTTGCTCAAAGCAGTCAAACGGCACTCTGTTTATATTATGTTTATAAACAGCACCATTTTATAATTGTAAATATAACCAAATGATGCTTGTTTTAGATGTGAGTAACCAGTATGGGATGCCCTGCAGTACAATTCAAATTGGCGAGGAAACGTCAACTTCAGCCATGACATCCATCTAACGGCCAGCATGGTATTATGACACACTGTGTCCAGGAATTGGCCAAAAAAATTAACTGAACCAGTTTTGTGTCCAAAAAGTGCAAATCTTGTATATAGATAGATGTCTTAAGAACTCTAATTAAATTCCAGTAATTGTTCCCCAGTGAATAATACAATGTAGAGAAAGACTTGTTTTTATTTGCAAACAGAATGCGAATCTAAAAACATCTGATGAATGTGATATACAGAACCATTTTGATTGTTTCTTCTTTAAATAAACTAGCATGGAATTGCATGGTAGGCATTTCTGTGTGATTATTCTCATTTGGGAATCATGTTACATCATTAGCACAAAGGAATGCATTCAGACTGTCTCGCCTCTAGGGATTGATCTTCTGCCAGTGATAACTGGGCTTTTTCTTACAGAGAAAGTGACGAAGAAAACAGACCAGCTGCAAGTTACATGAAACTATCCTAGTGCTTACAGAGTAGCATCTAAGCATCCAAATATGGAAAGTGCGAGCCTCGTGTTCAGAACGAATTGCAGCACGGCTTGTAACACCATGTGGATGGGTTAGGCTCAGCAACAGTGTAACAGAGATACCAATCAAACCCCATAATCCTCTTAATCTTTAAACATAAACCTGCTACTATATGAATATCTTAAATGTATAAATAACATAGTTCAAGAATCTAAGCCTGAATATCATTTGTCTATGTCAATACCATCATGCCATCTGATAAATTTTTGGATAAATATTGAAACAAAAGATAAAATAGCATTTTCATTACTTACAGTGAAGAATGTATTCAAAACGGCAGTTAATTTTTAAAACAAGTCATCTGGATACAATGTTCCAAAGCCCTTAGGGAACTGCTGGATGTAAGAAGTTCTCAAATAATGATTGCTCAACTGTTTCATTATTACAAAAGCTTGAGTTTCACTTCAAAAAATGAAGTTGTGAAACGGTTTAGATAATGGTTTTAGAATGTCAGAGACCATCCCCCTGTGTCCATGAATCAGCCCATCTTTTCCCTGAGAGGTGATGGTAGATGACATGCGGCCAGATCGGCCCGTACAGGTAGAGGCGAGCTTGCGGACAGCTTCTGCGCTACACACATGCTTCTGTCACTGCCGCTGGCGGACCTGATGAGAGCAGCAGTGCTGCCATTGTTTCAGAGGGGAAGGAAGGACTGGCGTGTTCCAGCAGTGTGAGGCGATGCCATGCAGAGGACGAGAAACCAGGCCCTACAGCTGCCTAACTGCTGCTCGGTGTGTGAATACACGAACACAAACACACACACGCAAGCACACTCACACTTCCCTCCAGCTATCATGAAATTCACTGGCCAGGCCTAGGGCTTTTGCCTGGGTTTTGGCAGCCCTGCCGATATGTCATCTCGGCAGACTTTACCCACTGGTATATTTTGCAGATCAGTCCCCCTGTGTAGATTTCGGAGGGGATTCAAAATCATAAGTTTACTGCTTGGCTACGTACTTAATCCATAAAATAATTTCATGGGACAGGGGTTATACCTTTAAACCTGTTATTAATCCTAGGTGGTTACGTGCCTGTTTCTGCACTAAGTTAACCCAAGATTCAAGATTTCAGAATAGCCGTTAACAGACAGCACTCAGCCATGAGATGTGGGCATCAATTATTATTAATAATAATAATAACAATAATAAGTGTCCATCATCAATTAGCTGCCCCAAATACCTTCCACACACACATAGGACACCTGAACAGTGGCACTGTTAGCGGAGACACACCGTCCTACACCTGTTACTGTCCCAGGTGGAACAACAGGGAACTTCCTGTTAGCTGACAGGTGGGATGAAATCAGGAAGCAGTGTGGAGAGCGTGAGAAAGCAGGCAGCAGTGTGGGGAGCACGAGAAGACAGGAAGCAGTGTGAGCAGCATGAGATGCCAGGAAGCAGTGTGAGCAGCACGAGAATGCAGAGTAGTGTGAACAGAACAAGAATGCAAAGCAGAGTGGGGAGCACGAGAAGACAGGAAGCAGTGTGAGCAGCACGAGAATGCAGAGCAGTATGAGCAGCACGAGAATGCAAAGCAGAGTGGGGAGCATGAGAAAGCAAGAAGCAGTGTGGGGAGCACGAGAATGCAGAGCAGTGTGAGCAGCATGAGAATGCAGCGCAGTGTGAACAGCACGAGAACGCAGAGCAGTGTGGGGAGCATGAGAAGCCAGGAAGCAGTGTGAGCAGCATGAGAATGCCGAGCAGTGTGAGCAGCATGAGAATGCAGAGCAGTGTGAGTAGCACGACAATGCAGAGCAGTTTGAGCAACACGAGAATGCAGAGCAGTGTGAGCAACACGAGAATGCAGAGCAGTGTGAGCAGCACGAGAATGCAGAGCAGTGTGAGCAACACGAGAATGCAGAGCAGTGTGAGCAGCACGAGAAGGCAGGAAGCAGTGTGAGAAGCATGAGAAGGCAGGAAGCAGTGTGAGGAGCACGAGAGGGCAGGAAGCAGTGTAAGGCGGATGAGAAGGCAGGAAGCAGTGTAAGGCGGATGAGAAGGCAGAAAGCAGTGTGAGCAGCATGAGATGGCAGGAACCAGTGTGAGGAGCACGAGAGGGCAGGAACCAGTGTGAGGAGCACGAGAGGGCAGGAAGCAGTGTAAGGCGGATGAGAAGGCAGAAAGCAGTGTGAGCAGAATGAGATGGCAGGAAACAGTGTGAGGAGCACGAGAGGGCAGGAAGCAGTGTAAGGCGGATGAGAAGGCAGAAAGCAGTGTGAGCAGAATGAGATGGCAGGAAACAGTGTGAGGAGCACGAGAGGGCAGGAAGCAGTGTAAGGCGGATGAGAAGGCAGGAAGCAGTGTGAGCAGCATGAGAAGATAGGAAACAGTGTGAACAGCATGAGAAGACAGGAAGCAGTCTGAGGAGTGTGAGAAGGCAGGAAGCAGTGTGAGCAGCAT